CGGACACCCATAAATGATAAACCAAAAATACAGTGTGTGGCCTGGCAGTGCTGGTACACGTCCTTGATCCTAGCACTTTGGAGGCAGAGATAGGAAGATCTCTGTGAGTTCAAGGTTAGCCTGGTCTACGGAATGAGTACCAGGACAGCCAGAGCTACACAGTGAAACCCTGTCTTAAGGGAAATAAAAGAAAACTGATGTGTTCACAAAACACAGAAGAAAGGGTCAGTTGGTAGGAGAGGTAGCTGGGAGAAAAGTCTGATAAAGCAAGAGAGGAGGGAACTCAAGAAAAGAGTGCTATTGGGTTGTTAGAGAAGCGTCCAGGGCAGCCATGCAATTCTACTTTGATGGCTGTTATGAAGGGATCTGTCCCCTGAGGGACTGCTGGAGGAATGGATGAGACCAAACACCAGAAACTGTGATGTAACATGAGGGCCAACTCGTTGGGGTTTCTGTCCCGCCCAGTACCCCAACAAGCCAGCAAGTCCCAAGGAAAATCACACGGAGTCTACATCAGGTTATAAACTGATTGGCTCATTAGGTCAGGCTTCTTGTTAACTCTTATAACTTATATTAACCCATTATTCTCATCTATGTTAGCCATAATGGCTCAGTACCTTTTCCAGCGGGGGCAGCTTACATGTTGCTTCTTCAGTGATCTGCGCAGGAGTGCCAGAGGAACCTCCCTGCTTCCCAGAATTCTCCTGTTCTCATTGCATCACCTCTACTTCCTGTCTGGTTGACCCGCCTATACTTCCTGCCTGGCCAATCAGCGTTTTATTAAAATACATGATTGACAGAATACAGATAATTCTCCCGCACCATTTCCCTCTTTTTTTTTTTTTAAACAAAGGAAAATACCCATAGTCCATTTGTTGGGAATGTGGGCGTAGTATTTCAGGCAACTTCCTGCTGGTTGGGGACGCTGATAATCTTATGGGGACCTAAAGAAAATTTAGAATTATCATCAAGTCCTGACTGGAGTATCCTGTGAGTCTTGATCATCTCAGGCAGCAGTCTTGGATCAGTTCTGGATGTAGACCTCTGTCATCTGGGCCATCTGTTCCTATCGGAGATTTTTCAGGTGGCCTCCCTTGGTCAAAGGTGATTATTCTTAACTCTGAATAAATCCAGAGTCTCTCGTTTTCTGTGGAAACAAAAGCAAAATCTCTTCTCCAAAGTAACATACCTTTTGACTTCAGTTTTGAAGCCAAGGTATTTTCAAAATTCCTATCTTGGGTTAGTTCAGCAGCATTATAAACAAAAGTCTTTTAGCAGTTGTTGCTCCTTCCTCAGCAATCAAACAATTTAAAGAGAGCATAATAGCATACAGTATGAAGATTCTCTGTGCATTTTCCATCTTTATGTGGCTTTATTTTAACCTCTATTTCTTTTATTTTTACTTTTACTTTTTGAGACAGGATCTTTGTATATCTTTGTCCTGGAATAACACTGTAGACCAGGCTGTCTTTGAACTCACAGAGATCCTCCTGTCTCTGCCTCCCCAGTTCTGGGATTAAAGGTGTATGCTACCACACCTTGAACTCACAGAGATCTGTCTCTGCCTCCCAGGCATTGGGATTAAAGGCGTGTACCACCACACCCAACTACTCTCTTTCTTTCCTTTTAACTTTAAGAACTTTAACTTTTAGTCTGCATATACACACTGTAAACCATTTAGAGGTTTTCTTCCTCTTTGAATCTCTCTTTACTGTATATTTTTCTTTTTCTGACCATATGAGTCTTTAATTTACTAAGCAATATGGAGAGCTGTGGCTTTGACGGCTAGATCCAGCTCATTCCTTAGCTTTTCAGCCTCAAGGCTGAGGTACCAGCCAGAGCTGTGTTCACTGCCACAACTCTATGGCATTTCAAGGTCCTTGCCAGCAAGCAAGCTGCAGCATTCTGCTCACAGACCACACTCAGTCGGACTGCCTGCTTGAAAGAGTCAGAGTTTGCTCTGGCAGGACAGCCCAGATAGCTGGCATTTTAAAACAGCACAGCTTTTCTCCTGCTACAGCTGAAAACTGAAAAGAATGCGTTCAGCTTGTCATCAACAACATTTAAGTGTTTTGTGGCAGGACCTCTTTAAAGAGCTGCAAGGTTTTGCAGCTAAAGCTGAGTCAGGAAGCCTCTCTCAGAAGAGAGCGCTTGCTTGCCTCTAGCAAGCAAAGTAGACCTGAGAAATTGCTGCCACCAAGAAGCCATGCTTTACTCTATTTTTTTCCCAAGCTTTCTCAGGCTTTCTGTGGATTCAGTTATCCACGTTGGGCGCCATATGTAACATGAGGGCCAGCTCGTTGGGGTTTCTGTCCCGCCCAGTACCCCAACAAGCCAGCAAGTCCCAAGGAAAATCACACGGAGTCTACATCAGGTTATAAACTGATTGGCTCATTAGGTCAGGCTTCTTGTTAACTCTTATAACTTATATTAACCCATTATTCTCATCTATGTTAGCCATAATGGCTCAGTACCTTTTCCAGCGGGGGCAGCTTACATGTTGCTTCTTCAGTGATCTGCGCAGGAGTGCCAGAGGAACCTCCCTGCTTCCCAGAATTCTCCTGTTCTCATTGCATCACCTCTACTTCCTGTCTGGTTGACCCGCCTATACTTCCTGCCTGGCCAATCAGCATTTTATTAAAATACATGATTGACAGAATACAGATAATTCTCCCGCACCACTGTGACTTTAGATCGATGTTCACAGTCCGCCTGTGAAGAGAGAAAGATAAACGACCTACACAGAAATCTCCCATTAATACTAAGACCAGCGGCCAAGTGCCCACAGACTGAAGAGGTCACAGGTTCTAGAAGAGAACTTACCATTATTGTTTGCTCAAACTGTCCTGTTTTCAAACTGCCTTCTAAAGTCTCACCTTTAGACTTCATCTGAGGCACTTCTTACCTGCAACAGCCATTGATTAATGTATAATGGGCCAAAGTGTTCAGAATAAGTGATGGTGGCATGCTTGGTCCCATTTGGGACAACTCTAACAACCCCTCCAAGGTTCAGGGACATGATGAAAGAAGGATCGGCAAGAATGTAAAAGCTGAGGAAGGGGAGACATCCAATTAAAAGACTTCACCTGGACATGATGTAGCCATTGCATCATCAACTCATTCCAGTAGTGTCTACCTGCGTAAGACAAAACTGGGGCTACCAGCATTTCATCATGGATAAGGAAGGGGCCCATGGGTCCCTGCCACTTCCAGAGAGACCATTCGCAATAACACCTCTTTAGGAATGGGTGTCACATTCTTCAGTGGTACAAACCATAGGTCCATTGTCCATGTTCCACTGAGTGGCTTCCTCTCCAGATTGAACAAGTAAATCTAATTAAGATCAGTGGGCCACACACAACAAAGATGATGTGAAAGACAGGGCTCATTGGGAAGAAGGGAGAAGGGTAACTGGATGACAGGGGAGGATGTCGAAGGGGGTGAGAAATGAAAATGATAAAATTTGTTATACAACTGTGTAAGTCTGTCAAACGATTAAAAATTAGAAGTAAAAAGGATTAACTCTGGTGGCTGGGAAAGTAGCTCAGTTGGTACAGGGCTAGCCTAACCTGCAAAAAGTCCTGGTTTGATCCTCAGTCCAGTGTAAAACTGGGTATGCTTGTACTCCCAGCACTGGGATGTAGAGGTAGGAGGACCAGCAGTTCAAGGTCCTTGGCTACTCCCTATTAAGGAGAAAGGAAAAGAAGAAGAGAAGGAGAAAGGCAGGGAGGGAAAGAGGAAAGGGATGGATAAGGCCAAGATGAACCAGTTATTCAAGAAAGTGTCCCAGTAGGAAAGGAGAAAGACCAGGGGGACTCGGAACAGCAGCTAGAGTGAGGCTCCAGGGCCAGGAGGGAGAGACCGAGTGTTCTAGAATATGACAGGCTGACCCTCGGTGCCTGGGAAGTCCCCAGAGAGAGAAAACAAGCATGTGAGTACATGGAAGGTCTTCTGTAATCATCTGGTGAATGAACAAATGGCTAGTATGAGAAAGGGGAAAAACCAGATTTTGTCTTTTAAAAAAAAACCCAACACCTAGATAGGGATGCCAGAAATAGAAACCCCCAAAGTACAAGATGCTTTCCCCAGTCTTTGAAAGTGGTTCTCCCTGCTGTGCAGTTTTAATGCTGTAAGGCATCAAAAGTGATGCAAAATTAATGCAGAATTAATATTTTATCAGAAAACTTTCATTTCCTTCAATATGTGCTTTGAAATGTGTACTTGCTTTAATGTTATCGCTAATGTTCTCATGTTCATGAGTTCTATAAATAAAAAAAAACACACAAGTTAGGATCTGACATACTTAAAGCAAGACTTCCTCAGAAATACACTCGGGCAGAGACACCAGTGCAGTCATTCTGGTTCTCATGGTGTTATCTTATACCACACACTTCAAATATAAAATGCAAAACAAAACTCTCAACCAGTGATGGCTGTCAAATTCGTTGCTCCCTTTCCTTGTGAGAGAAAGCCCTTCAGATTGTTCTTCAGACAAACTCAATAACCTTTTTTAGGACTGGATCCATACAGTTGCTCCTCTTCCTGGATCTTGATTTAAAAGCAAGCAAACAAGCAAAAAACCCTTCCATTTGTATAAGGAAATGGCAGGTGGGAACCCCTGACAGTCAGTCTGGTTACTATGTGATTGTGAGATTAATTTTAAAACATATAAAGTTCAATGCACAATACTGAAGTAAGTTGTCTTCAAAGTATTAAAGATTTATTAATAGAGTTACACTGTTGTTCCATAGACAGCAATGCTGGGGTCTTGAGGAAAGAGTGTCTCTGGTCCTGATGGGCAAAGGGGATTTGGGAATTACTTGGTCTTACACATTTGTGTGGGCTTTCCATATCTTGTGACCTAGCCTCCATGCTAGGAGTCATAGAAGAAGTGTTGACTGAGATTTTCTGTCCCGCCCAGTCCTGCAGCCATTAAGTCACAAAGAATCACACAGAGGTCTACATTAGTTGTAAACCAATTGGCCCATTAGCTGAAGCTTCTTATTTACTAATTTTATAACTTACATAATTCTTGTCTGAGTTAGCCACATGGCTCAGTACCTTTCTTGGCGAGGCAATCACATCTTGTAACCTCTGTAGCTGGGTCACAACAGGAGACTGGACTTCCCTCTTCCCAGAATTCCCCTGTTTTCATTGCCCCGCCTCTACTTCCTGCCTGGTTGCCCTGCCTATTCTTCCTGCCTGGCTACTGGCCAATCAGCATTTTATTAAAATACAGTTAACAGGGTACAAACCGTTGTCTCACAGCAAAGAAAGAAGGCAGTAGATAAGAAAATAAAGTTATGACTCACAGTTGCTGTGGGTATCGGAACAGGTGCCTGGACTTGCTGGAATCTGCCGGAGGGTACTGCAAGGCCACAGCAGTTTGACTGTTCTTTGCCACTATGCACCTGAAGAGAGAGATGGGGCTGTGGGAAGGCATGGCCTGTTTCTTGAGAACAAGAGAGAGTATGTGAGGCACCTGGAGCATCTGTGATCTATTCTTCATCCATAAAATGGGGAGCTAATGACCAGTCATGGCACCAGTCTCCAAGTGCCCAGGGAACAGGAGTTCTGGGCCTTTCCCTCTGAAATCTACTTTCTGGTAATCAGAGCTTCTTGCTGTTCCTGAGATGCTCAACCAGAAGGAATGAGTCCTCCGGGAAGGCTCTCTTCTGCCTCGGGCAAGTTTTCTGCAAGGGGACTAAAAGCCCTGTGTCTAATTATCTTTCTCTTCTGGTCACCTAGATTTCTAGGCTCTTGTCCCAGATTTTCTTTGCCTGGCAGTGTCTCTCCCCCCCCACCCCAGGCTCCCTCTTCAACTGAAACCCAAAAAGTAAAACGAAAGTGCCCGAGCATCTAGGACATTGGGATAACAGGCCTCGGGTGATCGGCAATTCACATGCTTGTCCCATTGATACCAAAAGGGAAAGCTATGTAGGGAGAACCTTGGCCACATCTCTGAAGGGACATTGCCTGGAAAGCGGCCATTGGTGGCAAGCACCTCTCAGTCATTTCTATCTCTTGTTGACAGTGTGGTAGGAGCAGGGCTTCAGCAGCACAAGTATTTGAAGACAATAAAATACAAACATGAAGGCCTAAGGTATGGAGATTGGTAGAGAACAGTTTGAATACAGGAACCTGGTGAGGAAAAAAAGTCTGGTATAACTGTGTAACAGCGGCCAGTGATTTTTTTCTGCTGTTGCCTCCTGATGAACTCCTGGCTGGATTTTCAAATCTCTGCAGGAGGAATAACTATCAAGGCCACAGAATACAAATGATTGTCGATACTATGTGAGTTTGCTCTTTCCAAATCGCAGTCTCTTCTTCATCGGGATTGTCAGACCGAAGGGTACTTTGTCAGCTTTGTGTTCCTGATGTGTGCCCGTTTAAAGACCCGTCCCTGCTGATGCTCCTGTTGTGCCCACCGGAGATGAATTTATAGTGCATGTCACTTTCAGAAACCAGGGAGAATGACCAATTAGAAGCAGGGAGGGAAGCATGCAAAATTGCTGTTTTTCCTGGACTCACCCATGGCTTCTTCAGGTGGAGCATCTGACAGCCGGGCAGGTGAGGGGAGCTCCTGCCCTGTGAATAGCTGGAGGGGAGCGCTAATGAGGAGCAGAAGGCTGCTGGAGAAGTCTCTTTTGGGCAGAGGGAGAATTTGACAGAGGGATGAGGTCACCTAATTAAGCTCTGCTAAAACGGGAGCATTTAGGTCTTGTATTGTTTTGTTTCTATAAACTCTCAGCTCCCCCTGAGACAGATAGATTCTTACGCTTTCATTGCATGTGCTTTATGTATTTTGAGGGTGGCATATGCTCAGAGGAAATTTAGAAACCACAGGGGATTTGAGCCATGGAACTAGAAAGATTCAGCCATATCTTCACATTCAAAGGTTATCATTGTTATTAACATTCTATTCTTATAGATTCTGATTTTCTTCTTCTGGAGACCTTTATGCCTAGTATTATCAAATATGGTCCTTGATAAAGAAACTGACTTTTCTGTGGAGATGTATATCACCTGAATCAAGCGCAGTGTAGAAGGAATGTGAAGATGGCGCTCTTCTCACTTCATTATCACCGTGACAGTTGGGTGTCAACCCCTGCCAAAGGTTGCCAGGGTTGTCTGTCTCTCCATTCCATGCCTGCTCAGGCCCATGCCACCTCAAAAATCCACATCACCAGCTAATAGGGGACTTTACGACCATCGGGGATTCCAAGGCTTTAAAACAAAAGGGAAGAAAGACAATCTTCAGTGTGCTTCACTGCTGTAGGCTGTAGGCATTGGTTAAGATGGTTCCTGGACTGAAAGAGTCCTGATATAGGGTCTGGGAACTGATGAATGTCTCGCAAGATATCTGTATGCAAACTTCCAGGAAGTTAGGTTGTACTGGGAAGTGGGAGGCACTACTGCCTTCTGCAGTTTAGACTGATGTTAGTGTTGGTGTCCTGATCTCCATTTGCTGGCTTAGGTTTTTTAGCTGACTGTCACTATTCAATCAATTTGACTTAGAAAATGGTAATCCCAATGGGATCAAACTATTATTCTTTACTGGATAGGCCCTAGAGCAAAGAAATCAGTGGTTAGGACCACAGGCATGGAACAGCAAAAAAGAGAATTGTACTTGTAGCATTTTAGACACAAAACACAGTCCCTGAGTGTACATTTCACCAAAATGGAAATGCCACAAGGTTGAAGAACAAGCTATGCCAAGCCTTTAGGAGTAGAAGATTTCCTCAAATGTCTGTTCTCAATTGCAGGGAAGCTCCCCCAGCTTATTTTCTCAGATTTTCTGATCATCTTCATCCATTTTTCAAAGCAAGTATATCAGTCAATACAAAATACAATAACATACTAGACATAGTGTTATCTGATCATTTTTAATAAGTTAAAGTAATTCTTTGAAATGGGTTCAATTTAAATTTGATCTCTTTAGAAGAAATTATTTCCTACATTTAGGAAATGAATCTTCCTAGCCTTTCTTCATATTTCTATTGAAAGTTACTCATTCTTATAAAATAAAGTATTGTATTATAGGTTATCTCTATTACATGTGGTTTACCACCAAGAGGTGGAAGATAAATCCCTATTGTACACCCAAAAATGTCATAAAAACACTAACTTGGAAACCACATATATACACACAGGACATATAGAATAAAAAGAGAGAATAAAAGTCCAAGCAAAGTAAAATAAAAGTAAAAATAAAAATAAAGTATAAGGCTAAACAAAAAAGGAGGGAAGCCCAGACATGATATTATGAGACAAGAAACCTCCAAAGATGCCATTGAGTTCATTTGCTGTTGGCCATTTATTGATGGCCATGCAGTCTACCCTTAAGAGTAGTTTGTTTTCCCAGTGAGACTCCCTTGGAGGAAAGTAAATTTGAGTATAGCAAAGTGTCATTAGGAAGGAGTCATTTTATTGCCTTTTTGTTGTTTGTTTTGTGTTTTAGAACAGTAGTATTTGGTTTTATCTTAAGTGTCTGGGATGTCTACTCTCAGATCCGTGTCGCCCAAGCAGTAACAGTGTCAGAGTATGGGTTCCCTCATGTGAAGCAATCATTTAGTCAGATCACATATTGGTGGTTTACTCCCACAAGCTTTGTGCTACCCTTGCCCAAGCATATCCTGGCAGCAGGACACCATTGTAGATCAAGCAGCTTGTGAATGGGCTGGTGTTCACACTTCTCTTTTAGTAGAAAGCAGACTACCTTCCTATAACCAAGATGCTAAAACATAGGGGAGAAGGCTCTATGTAGGCAACAGCTTGGCTTCTCCATGTTCAATGAGTTGTGTAGGTGTTGTCTCCAGCAGTGGGTCCTTGCCATCAGCATAAGGAGAACAACCCATACTATAGTTCTGTCAACATCCTGGGTTATTTGGGGGTTCCCTTGGGACCCCTTTGGCTAACAGCTCAATTAAATGCAACCTGCACCTGGTATTAGAAGGTTCACTTGGTGATGAGGTGTTCAATTGGGGCTTTGTCACTCACACTATTTGGTGATTGTATCTCAACTGTTTTCATGTATTTTAGAAAGCTTCTACTGCATTAGGTTTCCATATTACCATCAAGTGCCCCTTAATTCTCCCCCCATATCCCCTAACACCCTGCTTTTCTTTATTCCTCCCACTTGATCCTCCGGCTCCAGTCACCCATTTAATTCAGATCTATTCTCTTTTCTTTCTCTGTGGAGATCTAGCTGCTTCCCCTCCCCCAGTCCATATCTAACCTCTGTGGCTCCATGGATTGGAGCTTGGTCATCATTGACTCAGCAAGAGCTAATATCCACATAGAAGTGAATATACATTTTATTTGTTTTTCCGGGTCTAGGTTACCTTACTCCAGATGTATTTTTTTTTCTAGTCCCATTCATTTACCTGTGAATTTCACTATTTTAACAATTGAGTAACATTGCATTGCATAAGTGTACCACATTTCTTTTATCCATTCTTCTCTTGAGGGACATCTAGGCTGTTGCCAGTTTCTGACTATTAAGAATAGGGCAGCAATGAACATGGTGGAGCAAGTGACTCTGTAATAGGGTGAAACATCCTTTAGTTATGTGCCCAAGAGGGGTATAACAGGAATGAGAGATAAATAGATTCCCATCTTCCTGAGAAACCATCACACTGTTCATCATAATGGCCCTGTGAGTTTGCACTTCCACCAACAATAAGTGAGTGTTCCCCCTACTCCATGTCTTTGCCCAAATTTGTCACTTGTTTTATGGATCTTGACTATTCTGACCGGCGTAAAATGAAATCTCAAAGTAGTTTTGATTAGTATTTCCCTGATCTGATGACAGTGGGTGTTGAAGGTTTCTTTTAAGTGTTTCTCAGCCATTTGAGTTTCCTCTTGAGAATTTTCTATTTAGATCTATACCCCATCTTTAAATTTGGTTAGTTGTTTTCTTGATATCTAGTTTTTCAAGTTTGTTGTATATTTTGGATATTAACTCTCTATCCCATGAGTAGTTGGTAAAAAAAAAAAAATCTGTATTTTATAGGCATCTGCTCTGTCTGAATGACATTGTCTTTTGCCTATGGAAGCTTTTCTGTTTCATTTATTCATATTATCCATTTATTGATTGTTGATATTTGTGTCTGTGCTGATGGTGTCCTGCTCAGAAAGTCTCTTCCTGCACCAATGAATTCAAGGGAATTCTTCACTTTCTCTTCTACCAGATCCAATAAATCTGGTTTTATGTTGAGGTCTTTGACCTGTTTGGGGTTGAGTTTTGTGCAGGGTGATAAGGATAGATCTAAGTGGATTCTTCTACAGGCTATTGTCCAGTCTGGCCAGAAACATTTGTCGAAGATGGTGTCTTTTTTCCAGTATGTATTTCTGGTTTCTTTACCAAAAATCAGGTATTCATAGGTGTGCAAATTTATGTTCGTATCTTCAATTCAATTCCAGTTGATCAATGGGACTGTGTTGTGCCAATACCACCCTGTTTCTATTACCATAGCTCTTTAGCACAGTTTAGATTTATGTCTGTATCTTCAATTCAATTCCAATTGATCAATGTGGCTGTGTTGTGCCAATACCACCCTGTTTCTATTACCATAGCTCTGTAGTACAGTTTGACGTCGGGTAGAGTGATAACTCCAACAGCTTTTTGATTATTCAGGATTGATTTCAGCATTGTTTTAATTTGGCCTATATTTATGTTACTTTATATTGTTCCCTTGCAGCTTTTAATATTCATTCTTTCTTTGGTCTCTGCCTTTAATGTTTTGATTATTATGTGCTGATGGAAATTTTTTTCTGGTCCAGTCTATTTTGTGTTCTGTATGCTTCTTGTACCTTGATTGACATCTTCTTTAGGCTAGAGAAATTTTCTTCTATGATTTTAATGAAAATTCTTTTTTATCCTGAGTTTATTCTCCTTTGTCTAATCCTATTGTTCTTGGGTTTGGTATTTTAATAGTGTCCTGGATTTTATGCTGTCTTTTTCTTTTTTCTTTTTTAATTTAACATTTTTCTTTTACTGAGGTATCCATTTTTTTTTATTAAGTCTTCAATGTCTAAGATTCTCTTTTTATCTCTTACATCCTGCTAATGAGAATTGCCGCAGAGGTTCTGGCTCACCTTCCTAAAATTTTCATTTCCAGATTGCCCTCAGTTTGTGTTTTCTTTATTGATTCTATTTCCATTTTCAGGTCTTGAACTGTTTTATTTCCTTCCACTCTTTGTGTTTTCATAGATTTCTTTAAGGAATCTGTTCATTTCCTCTTTAAGAACCACTATGATATTCATAAAGGCTATTTTAAGGTAGTTGCTCAGCTGTGTTGCCATTCTCAGAGCCTCCTGGCATAGGACTTCTGGGCTCTAGTGAAGAGATACTGTCCTGGCAGTTATTGACTGTGTTTTTATGTTGACATCTAGGCATCTAAATTTGGGAAGGTTGCAATTCTAGTCGCCGATATCTGTTGTTGGGTGCTGTTTTATTCCTTAGTTTCTGATGCCCTTTCTGGTCTGTAGGAGAATGTGGTAGCTTTTAGCTGTGTGTTACCAGGTAAAGAATTCTTCTGAAATTCTGATTGGTGTGGTCATTGGGTAAATGTGTTTTTAAGAATTAGGAGCTAATACTTAAAAATGGGTATGGGTTGGGAGTGGGGGCTGGGAGGGCCTACAAGAGAATGGAAAGCAGGGTTTCTGCAAAGATCTGCTTAGTGCCCTAGAAATGGGCCAGAGAGTGAGGAGAGAGCACAGCAGGTCGTCTGTTACAGAATGGGGGCTTGGATTTGGAGGAAAGTAGGGAGAGGTGAGGATCTTCAGTTTGCCTACCCGCTTCTCTGGCTGGCATGGCTGGTATGCTCCCCAGAAATCCTAAAATAGATCTCAATCTACATAAACAAACAATGGAGAAAACAAGAACTTTCTTAGTTAGAAAAATGTAAACAAAATGTACACAGTATTAGAACCACAGACAAGAGTGAGGATTTTCAATCCATGTGTGCATGGGTGCGTGGGCAGGCTAACTATGGCTGTGCAGTGGGCTTGCACAGGAATGCAATGGAACTGTGGTCTGCTGGAGGACACGTAACAGGAAGAACCTGGGAAGCAGAAGAAGGATAGAGCTCAGGGATCTCTTGGGCAGCTAGGACTTCCTCTTAGAGCTCCCCAGGCTGAAGGACCAGCTAGCATTCTGATTCTACAGGAGTACGGCCAAAGCACCACTAGAGCATCAGACCTGCTGTCCTGCTTCTGTTGGC